ACATTATATCTGGTGTATCTGCCACTATTGGAGCGCAGCTTGGGGTATATTTATTCAGCATTCTGAGATCTACCAGAAGCCTGAATGATTTAGGGTCATCACGTTTAGGTACTACCCATAATGGATTGTTTGTTACAGAATTTGTTTTTCTGATAATACCTTGTTGCAGAAGCTCCTGTATGACTATTGATACTGGTTCAATAGATTCTGGTGGCAATTTGTATTGCTTCTGTGGGGGCGGATCCTTGCCTTGCACGTCTACTTCTATGTCTTTAAATAGACCGGGCCTCATTTTTGCCTTGGCTCCAAAGATTTTTGTATGATTTGACCAATTGTTCTAATTGTTGATTGTCACCACTATCTGGCCATTTATGGTCTGCAGCAAGCACTTCTGTTAAACAGATGCTGCCGACCTCACAGTAATCTGCTGGGTCAATTACCACAGGCTTACGATTAATGGAACCTTTCCATACAATGCCATTACCAAGATCAATTATCCAACCTCTTCGTTGAAGGATATCTGTCCCAATGATATTCTCTGCACCTTGACAATACCAAATATCAATCTCAGTATCCAAATAATCAGGGATTTCAAATGAAACATTTTTACACATTGAAGCTTTCGAATTACCTGATCCGTTAAATCCAACAACTGTACATACTGTTGCATCTGTCAAAAGAGGTAATCTTACACCAGTAATAGAAATTTCGGCACCTGTATCGATTAGAAACTTGAGCTTTTGTCCATTCAATTTTGCTTTAATGTAAGGGCGTCCACATTTATCTAGACATATTGGTGTTACATATTCTAGATGATGAGATTTTATTTCCTTTTTATTGTCTAGTCATGGAGTAGGCAATAATGGAGCTGAATTAACAGTGGTTGACTGCAAGTTCTTTTCAGTCAAACCGCTGCTGACCGATAACTCTCTGATCTGTTTTATCAGAGGAGCATAGGGAGAAGAAGATTGAGTTTCCTTCTGACTAGGAGGAGCAGATGGTTCAAGAGAGATAAGTCCATTTTCTTTACCTACATTTCTTGAATCCTTTATCTGCATATCTTTTAAGAATTTTTTACATTTCCATTTTAAATGTCCAGGCTTTTGACAGTAGTAACAAGTTATTGGCTCTCTCTGTCTCACCTGCTTGTATCTGTCACTTTTACTAAGAGCAGTCATTCCTGTCTTAGCTGTAGTTTGACCGTTCCTATTTAAAGTGTCATTTTGAACTAGAGCTATCTTAGACTTGAGATAGTTCTGTTTCATTTGTCTTCTGATTTTATCAATGAATGAACAAGCATCTGTAATCGAAGTTTTATCTTGCACAATGGCCAAAGAAGTTGGATCAAGATATTTAAATTTTTTTACAAATGCTTTTATCATCCCTGTATCGTTTTCATCATCTACGCCCAAGACCATTTTGTATGCCTTTGTGAATTTAATTTTAAATTCATAAGGGTCTTCTCTAACTGAAGTCTGTAATGAGTCTAGTACTTCTAAAGAAGGTACTTCCTCACCTGTGGTACATAACAACAATTGTCGTAATCTGTCTGATGCGTCACTATGTATCTCCTGTCCGTCATCGTCAATAACAGGTGATTGCACAAGTCGTCTAGCAAAATGTGCAGGTATCCAAAGATAATAGATACGGTTACGCTGTTCGTCAGTCAAGTGATAACGATCTGTATAAGACTCGAAGATGTCCGCATTATAAAAGGCATCGACCTTTGAGTCATACGCTGGAATATCTTTTAAAATTTTAATTAATTGATCATGAATTTGTAATTTTAATTTAGCTGCACGGTCTAGTAGTTTTTTCTTTCTAACTTCGGCTTCGTCATTTGCGTCATCTTCCCCCATTTCAGGAATGCAGGAAGCTTGAGGCTTTGACTGTTTAGAATCAGTCTTTTTACCACCTTTTGTTAATACAGCAACCTCTTTTCTGTCATTCTGCAGTCTTAACAAAAGATTTGTTTTAGAATCAATTTGCTCTTCAAGATTTTCTATGTAATTACAAAGTATGTCACAATTTGGACAATTAAGAGGATCTTGAGACAAATGTTCATGCATTACTGTGTTCTGTACAGTGCTACATTTTGTCTGCTTTTAGTGTAGAAACACTTTTAGCAGGTAAATCAATATTCAAAATCATTTTGTTGAATATTCTTACCAACTTTAAGATATTAGATATCTTCTTATGCTGTTTGTTTACAGTAAATCTAGATTTATCTATCTGAACATTGGCCTGTAAACATTCCTTGTACATGTACTGCCATAATTTACCATCATCAGGATATAAAGAAAAACATCCTTAAACTCTAACTTGCTTTTCTATAGCTAGTTTATCAATAAATTCCATAACTTTTACTCACCGTAATCAGATGATTTTCTTTTTTGCAGCCGGTGGCTCCGTCACTGGACCTCTCGTCAACGTCTGACGAAACACAAACGCCTTCACTTCTAGGTTCTTTGCACCGTGTTTTTCCAAGACTTGATCAGTCTGTGCTTTCTCCCCCTTTAGCAAGGAATGAAAAACCCGGAAAAACGGTGGCGGAGGCTGGCTTAGCCAAATGTTAAATATCGTGACACTTATATTATTTAAGTGTCTGTCTTTAGGCGTTTGAGGCAAATTGTTCTAGTGCCAGGCTGACTTAAAACAGTGTGACTTTTATTTAATGCACACTTGGCATCAAAAATGAATACAAAAGATAAAATAAAATACAGAGTAAAATATAACAAAAGTTGTAGATTATGGAAAAAGAAATAAGCTTTGGAGAAATGTCTAATCTCTTGTCTGTTCTATGACAAGTGTTTCAGTCTCGGCAAGGAAGACAACAGGTGTATCAAGGCTTTGCAGGCCTTACCAGGAGACAAATATGTCAGTGCGTGTCAGCTGTATAATGTCTTGATGTATGAGTGTGAGTGAGTGTATGTGACTCTCTATCTCTAAGGCACATGTTATATATATTTTACCAGACCAACCCACTAAACAGTTATTTCCTAATTCAGTGTGAGCTAAATAAGTAAAACCCTTATTTGTGCTTCTTCTAAACATATACTCTTAGTGTCCATATATGTAAACCTTCTAAACTATACTTAGTATGACGTTATTTGAAAACCTCTTAGAAGACAGAAATATATGATACTGTCATCTGATATAATGGCTTCACATATCTTTTAGAAAGGATAATGGTCACATAAATGCATAGATATAACCAACAATAATTGATACTAAACTTATCACACACTATTCCTAACTAATAAATTGATTATATGAAATAATTATCCAACTAACTATATTATGGATTAGACATGATTTTCTTTATAAAAGACATATCCTTTCTTTGTTCTACTGCATACCAATATCTTTTTACATTCCAATTGCTATTCTTAAAACTAAGCTTATGACCTGCTGACCTCTTAGACATGAATATACCATGGTTCATCTTTAACACCTGTTTTCTAAAGCTTCATTCACACGTGAAGTTAAAATTACTTCTAAATGACTTTTGCTGTCATTATGAAAGATATGAGACGTCTGTTTTAAGCTACATAATTTCTACAATGTCATAGTTTATAGTTGTCCGACTAGTACAAACTGGAGGACCCATTCTAAGTATAACACCTATTGCTGGGAACTTTCATCTGGATTTTTTAGTACATGAGAAGGTCACTTTAAAAGAATAGCAGTTTTTGCTGATAAATAGGAGTTTTAACCATGGGGCTTTCATTAAATCAATTTTGTTTACACATCTCTTCCTGCAGCAGCTGCTCCCAGTCACGACTAGAGGGACCTAATTGGAAGACAAGAGATCGACTGCTCCTTTATTCCGATACAAATTCTGTCTTTCATCTTTTTTCAGCTTCTTCTTGCAGGTTCTTCAAGTTTCTACAATTGTCAGCTCTGCATGCAAACATGAGGACCCTGAGGAAGTCACGTGTTAGTTGTGACGCAACGCATAGGCACGTGGTGACGCACATACGACGTGGACGCCATCTTGCTACTCCAAACAAACCCATGCATACTACACCCATAGCATGAGGTTGAAATGCTTATTATCTGCTGATATCAAGTGAGTGGGCAATTGGCAATATTATGGCTTTATATTTATAATAAATGGTATTACACTATGGAGGATCTCTTTTTCTTGTCATTACTATGATCCATATGAGAGTTGGCTATATTACGGGTATGTATATCTGAAGGGAATCTGAAGGTGATCTGAGATGCTAAACGCATTATACTGAAGTGGCCTTTACTACTACTTGGAAGGATACCACAAAGGGGAATCTGTTCGTGGAGGATCCAGTTGTGATCCCAAAAGCGGTTTGGCCCATTGGGTCACGGTAAGGAGGTGAGGAGGCAATTCAGCCATTTTTGGATTTATCAACAGTGGCTGTAATGCACATCCACTGCACCATCTGCATGTTTTGGAAGAATTAGTGGAACATTTGGCATATATGCACATCATTTTTAACCACTAGCCTACAGGGCACTTCTACCCCCTTCCTGCCCAGGCCAATTTCCAGCTTTCAGCGCTGTCACACTTTGAATGACAATTGCGTGGTCATGCAACACTGTACCCATATTAAATTTTTATCTTTTTTTGTGACAGATAGAGCTTTATTTTGGTGGTATTTAATTACCTCTGGGACTTTTATTTTTTCTTAAACAAACCAAAAACCACTGAAAATTTTGAAAAAAAAGTTTTTTCTTAGTTTTTGTTATAAAAGTTTGTAAATAAGTGATTTTTCTCCTTCACTGATGTGCGCTAATGAGGCTGCACTGATGGGCACTGATAGGTGGCACTGATGGGCACTGATGAGGAGGCACTGGTAGGTGGCACTAATGGGCATTGACATGCCTCACTGATGGGCACTGAAAGGCAGCACTGATACATGGCACTGATATATGGCACTGACAGGCAGAACTGATAGGCGGCACTGACTGGCACTAATAGGTGGCACTGACTGGCACTGTTAGGCAGCACTGACAGGCTCTGATAGGCAGCACTGATGCGCACTGATAGGCAGCACTGATAGATGACACTGACTGGCACTGACAGATGGCACTGATTGGCAGCACTGATAGGTGGCACTGATTGGCATTGATAGGTGGCATTGACTGACACTGATGGGTGACACTGAAAGGCAGCTCAGATGGGCACTATGTAGCATTGATGTGCACTGGTAGGCACTGATATGTGGCACTGATGTGGCACTGATGGGCACTGGCACGAGGCATTGATGAGCACTGACATAAGGCACTGATGGACACTGACAGGTGGCACTACTGGGGCTACACTGATGATCTGTGTACATGTCCCCTCGCGGAAAGCCTATTACCGGCTCTCTTCTCCTCTCGAGCTATCAGCGTGACAGCTCGAGAGGAGAGAAATGCCGATAACCGGCATTTCCCTGTTTACATGTGATCAGCTGTGATTGGACACAGCTGATCACATGACCGAGCCGACATCTTCGGTTCTTTCCGTGATCGGTGACCCGCTGTGTCATATGACGTCCTCCCAGAACGAGAGAACCACCTTGCGCCCGTCAAATTACTATATGACGGGCGGGAGGTGGTTAAGGCAATATTTTGGAATTCATTTTGAGAGTTATTTAGTGAGGGAGAGTGTTGTGATTTTTGTGTGATTTTTTTGTGCACAATTTTGGAGTTTTTTAAATTTTTTTCACTAAGCACAAGTCACTTTATATGGGAGGTTTATCCCCCAGTGCAGGGATTCACTTGTATGTGGCACTTGTTTGTTTTGTTTTTTAGGCTGTGTTTAGCCACTGATCCCAATTAGGGATTTGGTTAATTGGATAGCACTTTGTTTGTGTGTTTACCACATTGGGTCCAAATAGGACCACGGTTTTCATTACATAGTTTTCAGGTCACTTTAAGATCCCAGTGGGGATTACTATTAATATTATTAGATTATTATTCATTTATTTATACATATATGGTTTATATATGAGCGCTACACCACTTTATATACAGTATGTTCTTCAAATTTCTAGAATCGTCAGCTCTGCATGCAAACATGGCTTGAGAATTACATATAATGCCATTGGAATGTTTTGTACTAAAGAAAATGTAGGCTGACAGAGCTAGTTATTTGCAAGTTGACTAATGCACTGACAGAGTGATCTAGGAACTGTATCATATAGCATGGCACTGGTGTATTTTCACTGGTGAAAAAAAGATCAACTGGCATTTTAACCACATCCATACTGAGCACTTTTACCCCCCTAATGCCCAGGTCAATTTTCAGCTTTCAGCGCTCTCACACTTTGAATGACAATTACTCTGTCATGCAGCACTGTACCCAAACTATTTTTTTTAGACAGATATAGCTTTCTTTTGCTGGTATTTAATCACTACTGGTTTTTTGTGTTTTTTGTTGCATAAGCGAACAAAAATCGAAAATTAGTTTTTATTGTAAAATTTTGCAGTCGGTTTTCTTCTTAAATGCAGGCCACAATTTATACTGCTACATATTTAGCCTATGTGAAGTTACAAGGGAGTCTACAAACTATAGTACGTATCATTGAAAATTGATCAATCCTGATGTATTGACAGCCTATAATGCAAAGACAGTACAAATACACAAAATTACTCCTTTTTGGAAAGTAGACAGACCAAGGTATTGTGGTGAGTTTTTTTCACGAAATTGTCATTTTAACAAGTTATTTCGCACACACGGCCTAGGCATACTTGCAACTGAACCCCAAAAAACAGTCTGCTACTCCTCCTGAGTATGGCAATACCACATGTGTGAGACTTTTTCACAGCCTAGTCACATAGAGAGGCCCAACATCCAAGGAGCACCTTAAGACATTCTAGGGACATAAATTACACATCTAATTTCCTTACCTATCACACTTTTGAAGGCCCTTGAGCACCAGGACAATGGAAACACCCAAAAGATGACCCTATTTTGGAAAACATACACCCCAATGTATATTCTATAAGGCATAATTGGTCTTTTGAATGTCATTTTTCTCCACAAGTTTTTGGAAAATGTGGAAAGAGAATGAAAAATAAAATTGTTTGCACAAAATTGTCAATTTATAACATATTTCTAATACACAGCGTGTGCATATACCAAGAATTACACCCTAAAATACATCCTGCTGCTCCTCCGGAGTATGGCAATATGGGGAACTTTTTCGCAGCCTAACCACATAGAGAGGACCAACATCCAACGAGCGCCCTCAGCCATTCTAGGGGCATGATAGGATGCACTGATGGCTGCTGTGACAGGTACACCTATAGGCTGCACTGATGACTACGGTGAAAGGTATATTAATAGGCTGCACTGATGGCTGTGTTGACAGGTACACTGATTAAGGCTACACTGATGGCTGTTGCTGTGACAGGTACACTGATTGGGGTACACTAATGGCTGCTGCTGTGACAGGTACACTGATTAGGGTACACTGATGGCTGCTGCTGTGACAGGTACACTGATTGGGGTACACTGATGACTGATGCTGTGACAGGTACATTGATTGGGGTACACTGATGGCTGCTGCTGTGACAAGTACACTGATTGGGGTACACTGATGGCTGCTGCTGTGACCAGTACACTGATTAGGGCTCAACAAACAGCAGTAAATTGATGTTATCGTGTTCCTTCTCATGCACACATATCCTGTGTGGGAGGCAAAGCGGGTAACAGCGAGTTACCACTGTTTGTTGACATCATGTGATCAGCTGTGATTGGACACAGCCGATCATGTGTAAAGAGCCGCTGTCATTGGCTCTTTACCTTGACCGGTGATGTGCTGACCACCAATCGGAATGCACAAGCGGTGAGACAGGGAGGATGTCATATGACATCCAACTGAAGGGATGATATTGGCAGGGCGGGAAGGGGTTAAACATGAGTAAGTCTTTTCTGTTAGCAAACTGGCCAAAACGTTGGCACTATGGGTAGCAGTGCATTTATCGATGATGCCAAATGACACTGACAGTTTTACTTTTAACACAGAAAATCTTCTAACTACACTTAAAATAATTATATTTTACCAAAGCTCCTGAAATAAAGCAAATAGACTTGTGCAGAATAAAAAAAAGTTTTGTTTTATTTCGGATCGATTCATCAGTTACTAATTTTGTTTCTTTGCATTTGTAACAAAATTTGTTTTGTTTTGTTTAGCTTTGTGTATTCATTTTTGACTGGATTTTAATTTTTCCAATGGATTTGAAGCATTCAAATTGAATTGAAACCAAAAATATCGAATCAATCCAAATTCATTGTGAAGAATTGCTGGTTCTATTCTATTTGAAATTAAAATTTTGGCAAATGTTATATTCTTTCTGTTTTGTTCTAATCTATTATAATCTATTCTATTTTTTTCTAGTCTATTCTATTCTTTTCTATTTTATTCTATTCTTTATTTTCTGGTCTGTTCTATTCTGTTCTGTTTTACACCATTCTATTTTATTCTATTCTGTTGTATTCTATTCCTTTATTTTCTATTTTATTCTGTTCTCTTATTTTCTATTCCGTTCTGTTTCACTCTATTATATTCTATTGTTTCTATCCTATTCTTTTCTAGTCCTTTAATTTCTATTTTTTTTATTCTATTCTTGTATTTTCTATTCTATTCCATTCTTATGTTTCACTCTATTCTTTTCTATTCTGTTATTCTTATTTCGGAACACTGTTCTTTTATTCTGTTCTTTTCAAATGTATTTTATGTTTTTCTATTCTATTCCTTTGTTTATATTTTATTCTTTTATCTTCTATTCTTTTCTGATCTATTCTTTTTGAGTTTCAGCAGATGACTAATTTTTAACACTAATACACAGTATTTGAAGGAAATCAGCAATAGTCAGCAATATGTTTATATTTAGAATTTGTTTTCAAATTCAATTTTGCTTTCAAATTCTATTTGAATTTGATTCAAATTAGTTTTAAATTTCAGCCGAAATTTCATTTTGTTATTTCAGATTTGTTTTAATTCGTGACTATTGTAACTCGGAAATTCGGATCTTCGAATAGCTAAAATTTTGTCCAACTTTCATTTCAGAATGAAAGGAACCACACATATCTAAAAGCAAATGCTTCCCCTGCTACTGACATGAATACTGGTCCATTTAGAAAAACAATCTGCCTAAATGCCTAGGTTCTTTCTGCAGTGATGTCAGTTGGAGGACATACTGAGAGCAACAGGATTTGACAAACAGCAAAACAGCAATTTGAAAAAAAAACAAACAGCAGTTTGACACTCCTGGAAATGGAATGTATGTTCTCCTCAGTTCTAAGAAATTCAGATTTAAAGTGTTACTAAACCCAGGACCCTGCATTCACTCTATCTGATCTCCCACAGTACACAGAATGTGGAAATGCAATTATTTTAGTAAATATAAACTGCTAAATACCTTTTCTCATCAGTAGTTAGAGCAGTCTTGTGACTTCTATCAATGTTCAGCAGATCACTGGTTAGAGCTTGTAGGAGGAGTTTTCTTTCTTCTCTAGGAGGATGCAGAACCCCTGACCTCTGTCTGGACAGTGCTGATTGGCCCTGTGCTGATCACATGCACTTTCCCAAGAAAAAAAAGAAACCTTCCTAGCAATACACACCCAACTGAGCATGCGCAAAGTGTCGAGTGTCTCCACACAATATTATTAGGGGGATAAGGGGGGGTAGCACTGGAAGAAGGGGAGGACCGAAGAAGTCAGCATCAAACAGAATTTTTGCACAATGCAGAGGATTAACCCCTTAGGTTCCACTGTGAGTATAACAAGCATGTTTTACTGCATTTACAGAAGGATTATACTGTTGTGTGTTTAGTAACACTTTAAAGTTGTCAAAATCTTCCAAATAAATGTGGATTTCTCTATGGTAGTGGCAGAGGAAACATCAGGGGTCTAATAGACCCCTGAGGTCTCAGTTAGGGCTAAGATTTGGGTTCGGCCCAATGCATAGTTCGACTCCAGCTTTGCAGGTTTGATGTTTGCCAGCCTCAACATCCTTCTTCTTCTGCAGCAGGATGCCATTTATATACTACTTGCGTGATTACTATTACTAAAGCCACAGCATGATTGGTTGCTAAAATGCCTACAGCATCTTAGCAACCACTATTCCATTATCTGCTAGCTTGTAAAAAAAACAGATGGGCAACCCAGTAGCGGGTTTTTCCTTTTATTATGATATCAGAATCACTATTCATTGTGATTTACAAGGACCTGCATCATTGGATTAAAAGATTGGATTTACATTGTGGGACTCTTTTTTTCTAAGAACTTAGTCAAAGTTGTATGGTTATTTACAATGTAAAAAATTTTTCTGAATGAATAACCAAGAGTATTTTTTGTACTCCTTATTCATTCACATAGGGAGAGGTGGTATCTGGGGTCCACTTATATTAAAAGAGGTTCCATATTCCAATAAACCCTCCCACCTACATACCCCAATGTCCACTTGTTAAGGATGTGCAGAAGAGGCCCTTGTCCTCATCAACATGGGCACAAGGTGCTTTGCTAGGGAAGCCACCTGGCAAGATATTCTCCTCATGTATAGAGCATGTTACCTGGTATGTTTCAGGAGAAGGGACACATTGCCACCCCCTCCACTCTCCTAGTTTGCCTGCGACGTGCTTGGATAAGGATCTGGTATAGATTTTGGTGGTGGAACCTATGTCATTTTATTTTTGCATAGGATACCCCTTAATATCCATACCAGATTGTTTGTTTGACAATCTCTTGCCTATTATGTGTGAAAATAGCCAAAATTGATTGGGTTATCATTTACTTCACTGGGTTTCTGATTAACACATGAACTTAGAAGCAATTTGGTGACACGTCCCACAAACTGAAACCAGATACATTTGTATCATCCCTGGTCTCTGTGATGAGGACATGTCACTGCTGTCACATTGAAGCTTATCATCCTCCATGTAATAGTAAATTTAAAAGAAAAAAAAGTAAAAATGTGTAGAGTAAAGTTAAAGCAGAACAGTACACCACCCTACACAAAACACTAAACAGTTAATACATTTGTGAAATCCCTTACCATATAGAAAAAAAGTCTAACTACATTTTCAGGAAGTCATCTCTGTAATTCAAAGATAACAGCATCTGCACTGCTAAGGAGCAGGCGTAACAGTAGGGATTACATCATATCTTCTGCTCTCCCCTACAGTAGAGGGGAACTACACTTCCCATCAACCACAGGGAATTGAAGTGAATGTGGGTGAGTACACTAGCTCTGTTCATGTGAATGTGTCTGAGAGTCTCAGTCCACCCACCACTGCAATTGGGGCTGAATTACTTCACTGCTTCCTGGAGAAAGAACTACACAAGGAATGTGCCAAGACCAGTGGCTGGGGGAATAGGAGGCATAGCAGCCACTGATCTTACAAACAGGAAACCAAAGAGAATTACGGGTTTGATTTGAAAATGAATAGGTTATTTCAGAGCAACTACTGTGTAAACCAGAAGATGGATGCCATATTGCGTGAAGGTAGGAAAATAGCAACAAGGACATGTAGAAAAGTTTTTTGCCTGGAGTTCAGCTTTAAATACATAATATTTAAGAAATAGAAAAATTAGACCCCCTCACCACATGCACATACTGTATTTATTCACATATACACACATATGCAGTCATAACACACATACATGAAGCCTATTATGCATTAGACATCTCCCCACACACAAGAGGTAGAGAATAATAATTTCATATCCTTTATTTTAGTTTACAAGGTATTTCCATTTTTGCAGTCAAATCTGAGAAAAAACCCACTATATGTTTGTTATGTATTTCCATTCACATGACATTCTGTGCCTAGAAATGAAAAAGAAAAATCACACACAGTGAGTTGAGAAGGGTGGTTTCCAAATGTTTAACTCTTTGCTAGGACAGTATTCAAACCTAGTTTATAGCTAATAATGAATAACTATGAATGCAATACAGACAGGTTTACTTATATAAAACATTACTTAACAGCCCCTCCTAAAAATTATAACGCATAAAAAGAGCATGCACAGTTTTGTAAGCCAGTAAAAAGCACTTAGAAAAGTAACTACAATTTTTTTTTTAGTTTATGCTATGTTGTGCTTACATGTAACAAATATGAAGTAGGTGTTTTCCCAATTTGGCTGCAAAAATAGAAATACACTTTAACTTTGAATTGATGAGTTGTAATAGATTTTTTTTCGTAATCTATTTATAATGTTGGATATCTCCATTTTTCACCACTCTGCACACACATGCAAGTGTTTGTTATTTATTTATTAATGTAGCCACCTTTGCTATGCTACCTGTTGTGTACATGTACCACAGAACTGTTTATTTTTCAATGCATACATATTCACCTGTTGTTATTTTATTATTATTATACAGGATTTATATAGTGTCAACAGTTTGCTCAGCGGTTTACAATATAACGGGAGACAATACAATAACAATAAAGAACAATACAAGAGGGTTAGGAGGGCCCTGCTCCTTGGAGCTTACAATCTAAGAGGGAGGGGCTAGTGGTACAAAAGGTAATAATTGCGGGGGATGGACAGGTAGGAAGAGTAGAAGATTCCATTATTAGCTGATGGCAAGATAG